TATGTACATAGTCTTGTTCATGAGATATATTTATTTAATATTGGATCAAATAGCAAAGTTTTACATTCAAATACTAATATTATTAATATTTTTTATTATAATTCAATTTTAAATTATAAAGTGAAGGAGATTTACAATAAGTTAGATTTTATTTGTTTGAAATCTATACAGAAAATTGTCTAAAACTTCTTTAATATTTTTGGATTTTAATAAAATTGTTTAAATTTGCAAACATAGCTAGAAGTGAAAAAGTACATATTGTCGTGTTTACATGATGTACGTTTCATCATAAATCTTGTATTCAACAACACTAGTTGAAAGACAAGTATAACATTTAGTTTGTTATTTTTTGATTTGCAACTGTGAATTTTGTTGTATACATTAATTTATTTTTAATCATGATGAAAAAAAATAAAACAATGAATCCAAACCAATCATCAAGAGCAACATCATGAAGTTGTTCAAACTGCAACAAAACAAGTAATATTGATGACGATCATATAATCTTTGTGATTCAACCTTGTCATATATCATGTTTCTACTCGATTGTCATTTTGAAAGACGTCAAGGTGATCAAACAACATCATGCCGCGACAAAAAAACAAAGCTTAACGACCCCAATGTTCATATGGTGAGTTAGTTTGTGTGTGTTTGTCTTGCCGTCAACATGTTTATCACCTCTAATATATTCATAGATTTAACGATTTGGACATTTTTTTTAGATGCTGAAGCAAACATTCATCATGAAATTTTTTGTCCTTGACCAATGCATTTGCGCGTGCGTGACATATGTGTAGAACAACTTTCACTTTCTGTTGGTTTCATTTTTTTTAATGATATACCGTTCAAAAATAGCTCAAGCTCATCAAGCTTCTATTTAATACCGTGTTTTCATCTTGGTGCGTGAACGTCATTTCAATCAATTCAAGTGGAAAAAATATCATGATCAAACTATAGATTGAAAAATCACATTGCTAGAGAATATATGTACAGATCTTGTGTTTTGTATATGATGTTTTGATCACTAGCTAGATATTGTAGTAAAAAATGACACATGATGTGTTGAACGAAACGTTATAAAAGTTTATTTACACATTCTTTATGAATCTTCAAGCTTAGCAAAATGCTATCAACAAACTAAGTTTCAATTGTTAAAAGTACGTACAAAATGGATTTATGTTGGCTTCTAAAACATTATTGTAAGTTGATGATTTATGTGATTCACAAACAAAATGTTAAAGCGTTGATGTGATGCAATGATGGATCATCATAAGAATTCTATCGTTACTTTTTGAGCAAATTATCATCATCATGTACTTAATCCAATTTCCAAAGTTGGTCATCTCTCGACGGCGCTAAGAATTGTTTGAAATAATGATTGACATATCAAATAGAATGGACATTCATTTTACCGCGGATAGTGTTCTGAACTAAGATGATTTCATCACAATCGTTCAACAAGATGTTTTGTTATTTATACAAAATTTTATCGTCATGCACATCTGAGATCATGATTTGTAAACACAACATATATACAACAAGCTTTTAAAAAATGAACAATAACAAGTATTTGAAAAATCTATAATTTTTCACTTTTCTTTGTGGCATAAGGAATGAAAATTAAGGCGTATTGTGGTTGCAACAATCATGTCAGGAATTGGAAGCATAATCTTGATGCTAACGGAATTTTTCAAGATGCGTCTTGTTCTATTTATCAAAGAGGTTGTGTATTAATATCTTGTGCACTTAAACAAACATTGGAGCATGAAGATGAATGACAATACGGAATGCAAACTCAGTGACATGCTCCTTGTCTACGAACGTGAGTCAAATATGAATTCTTCTCTCAACAAACACAACTAAAATATTTTTTTAACAAGTCATGATACTGTTTGAATACATTTGTGTTAGATGTGAGGTGGGTTGGCGATAGTGTTTTTTAATAAGAAGTTGGTTGAAAGCGACTTCTCCATCACTAAATGGAAAAAAAAAGTTTTGCACTAGCCTGACTAGACTTTTGTTGGCGGAAAGTATGCATACAAAACAATTCGAGATGCTAAATATGATTATCGCCAAGATAACATACACAAAGTAGTGAAATTATAATGTTAGTGCTAAAATTAAGAAGAAATTTTTGCTTAAATTACCTTAATTTAGCATTAGCACTTAAACTTGGCATTTGCCAAAAGTTAGTAGTCATGAAATAAAGTCATTGAAAGCATCAAATTTCTTCAATAGTTTTGAACATAATCTAATGATTTACTACAATTGTTTAAATTAGTATTATAGATTTAGCAGAATTGTGTCTTGGATTATCTTTTGCAAGTCAATTTTATGTGTTATTTGTACATTTAGATTTCAAAGCCTTTGCTTGCTATCTTGCATTTTCGCCGATTGTTGAATCAACAGGTTCAACAACCAAAACTTTCGCCAACCGTTAACATTTTGCTTGAAGAGTTGGAAGTAGCAATAATCAATCTTTAAATATGTATTCACCATTATTCGAGTGATATCAACCTCGAAGATCTTTTGACAGAATTCTTTTTTGATATATTAATCCTTGCTCATGCTCATTCAGATGTCACCGTACGTGCTTAAAGTCACAACTCCTAGTGTACCTTCGATTTCCGAAGAGTACGGCCGGTTAAGTTTACTCCTTCGTGAATGAAATGATTTTATAAAATTCTTGGAATGGTTTTTCAGTTGGAAGATAGATTTTGTTTCGAAACAAAAAGGTTGATTACTTAAGTTGGAAGATAGATTTTGTTGCGAAACATAAAGTTGATTTCTCAAGATTCTTTCAGAAGCGCAAGGTTCAATAAAAAATGAAGCATCATATGACATACTAGATGCCGATTTACTTAAGATCTAGTAGAGTCGTGTTAGACAAAAAAGTGACTTTGAAGAGATATATATCAAACAACATAATAATGACAGACTCGTATTCAAGGATATGAATAAAGTGGTGGAAGCACATTGGTCGTGTCTTACCAGACACGACCAATGTGCTTCCACCACTTTATTCAAAAGTATGTGATGCCTCTAGAATCGAATAGTAGTGGATAATCACTTGGAATGGTGACATGAAGTAACTTGCTTTTTAACTATCATGTGCGATTCTGGTGGGAGAGAATAAAACCACATCATTCTCTTATATGATCTCATTTCCACCAAGCGAGTCTTGGCTTTTAAAAAGCTACTGAAAAAGTTACTGGCGCTACTGAAAAAGCTTTTGATAAGCAATCTTAAACCCTGTTCGTAAGGGATAATCCTGAGTTTGTTCTCAACTGTACTGGGTACATTTCTGTGATCAGTCTACATGGTAAGTCACGAACAAGAAAGCATCTACTCCAATTCAAGTTAACTCTTCTTTGTGATGATATAAGAAGCTCGCTTCTTTTGTGCTTGTGAAAAACGAAACAAGAAAATTTGTGACTCTTAGCTATCGCGCGTATGATGAAATGATTTTTTTTTCAAATTAAGAAAAAGCAAAATACACCATAGAAAGATTCAAAATATGAAAAGTTTCCCTTTATTTCGATAATAAATATAATTAAAAAATTTAAAAAGAGTCCCTCAGGGCCCGGTCATTCTCAGATGGAGTCTCAGACTTTGTTTTGTGGCACAGCACAGAACCAAAATACTGTCCCCCATTTTTTGGGTGATAATATTAATAAAAAAACAACAAGACCCAAAATACTGTCCTACAAAACAAAGGGAAAATTTTATTTTCTGACTCTAACTCAACCACCCGTTGTTGCTTTTCTTCTTGTTACTTCAAAGATAGCTGGATTTCCTTTACCTACTAGAATTTTGACAAAACATCTTCTTACAAACCGTAAGTGGAGTAATCATACAATTCGACATCTTTTGATCATCAATTCCAATGACTTGTATTTCTGAAGAGTTGACACAAAAGTTACGTGGTTTGCCAAGGGTAGGATACGTACACATATTAGATAGAAACACCTATCAAAACTCTAGAGCGTGTCACTTAAAGACAAGGCCACACTTGATGACTAAATGAACTTAATTTTGCAAAAGCTTGAAATAACTCCTAACAAAAACTTCATGGTAGGACCCAACATCCAAATTAACATATTGAAAAGCTAAGATAACAAACAACCATAGCCATAGCGTAAAGATATATGTAATAAAGAATTTAATTGTCTGAAAACTTCAACGAATAAATTAAAGAATCGATAAGAAAATCACATTGTTATCACCTCCCTGTGAACAATTCTAAAGTATTACAGTTATTCATGAAACCTTTTCATATATACCGAATGTATGCAATAATTCCATATCTGCAAGTTACCATGGAATAATCAAAAGCATATTGTGATGTTGGCTTACAACATATTTCCTTGTTACATCCAATTGTCACTTAACGCTCCGTACGTTCCGTAAACACAGCATCATGGTGTTGACTTACTTTTGAGGTTGCTTCCGTTGTGTCTTTGATTCTACTAACATCAATTCTGCTAGCTCGGGACGTAGGAGAAGGAACAATTCACGCATATTGGAGATGGGGAGCTCTCGGCCGGCATGCACTCACTCACACTAGAACCGTATAACCCGGTGTCTAAATAGAATTTGTTTGTAAATTGAGCTTTGTAGCTTTGTCCTGTTCGATGTTTTATATCCCTGTCTTGGACAGCTCCCCAGACTTCTGGATCCGGTGCGCGGGTCACCGCGCAAACGTTCGGCATCCAAAACCCATGCCTGCGTCCGACATCGCGCGGCACCGAGCCGGTGCTGGAGGTAAACCGAAGGAATCAAAGTTAACTCCGAAGCTCCCCCGAGACGCTAGCCCGGTTTGACCGATGTCGCAGACCCTGGTCCCCGGTGGGAAGCGAATATTCGATTCCCAACCTCAGGTAGTCCCGCAGGTGCAGTTCTACACAGAATAATTACGCGACACAGCGCCAGTCTCAGACATGAAATGCAGGTGGATATGCCGCAAACTTGAACCGGGCCTTGCCGGAATGAACAACTGCGGGACAACAGCTCGCACAGGATGGCATAAATCACAGGATGCTGCTTTGACCTGTGCTCTGCTCTGCTCGATGTTATTACGGAGGAGTGAGATGGATCAGCAGGAAGGTTTACTGGGAGGCGATGGGCTTAATCAAAGATTAACAGTAGAGAGGAAGGGAATGAGAAAGAAATTGTAGTACGGCATGCATGTAGCCGGCAAATGGAGGAGCAGGTTCAGATCTCCATGCCGGGGAGGGAACAGAAGAATGGGACCAATGGGACCAATGGGAGCAATGGGACCACCGGCTATGGTGAGGCTACCCTACCTGAGAAGCAGGGGAGGGGAGGGGAGGGAGTGAGTCCGTGAGTGAGCGTGTGCTGAGGTGTGGAGTTCCTTCGGAGGTCTTGGAGGGGAGCTCGGAACTCGTTTGTTTGTTTGTGATCGGGCTCGGCTATGGTGGTGGTGTTGGTGTGTGTGAAATTAGTGGCTTATTTAAAGCCTAGGAGCAACGAGGTTATAATTGACCTGTTTGAGACACTTCCACTCCCGCTGCGGGTGGATTGATTAGCTCATCTAAGGGGGCACGCGCTGTGTCGCGCACGACACGCCTCCCGCCCGTGGCCGAGTTTATCTCACAGGTGCGCCACTCCCCAATCCTCTCCTGCTCATTCAGAAAAAATTCACCCGCTTGCAGCGCTCGCCGCTGGAGCGAGAGCCTTTTGCATGGCTGTTGTTGTCGCCCACAGTGATCATCTTCCTACGGTCGGTGAAGCAGTTAGCCACGAGTGACACAAAATTCATGGTCGTGAGATTCGAAAGATTCTCCGCGAATACTTCGAAGTAGTTCGGTACTAATCCTACCAACCTTGTTGGGAAGGCGAGAGTTATTTCATGTTTGTTGTGTCTGAATCACGTAGTGGAAGTTTTCGTTCAATAAACCTCTCGAGGTAGCAGTTGTCGCACCGCATCACCGGTTTAAGGGAGCTCACCAGTTTCGGTTGTGCTCACTCCATATGCTGGCGAAGAATTCTTGGAATGTGGCAGTGCCACTTTCGCTCCTGGACAGTGGCATCACTGGGCTGTGCCTAGTTGTTTCCTCTGTCAGTCCTGAATAAGAGATCGCCCTTCTTTATTTCGGTTTGTTGTACCATGAACCTACGTGGACATTAATGCAAGTGGACTAGGATCTTTCCAGTCTAGAAATTCTTCTTTGGTAGAGTCCAAAACAGCTGATCGTTGAGCTTCAAACATCCGTAACTCCCTTAGTATACTCAACGCAAGCTTAATAATTGCAGGACAACCGTCTACTCGGCCTGAAATGCTCTGCTACTGTGAGAGACCTCGCAGTACAATCGATATCAGAGTTTCTTGCTTGTAGAATTGAGTTTTGAGCCAAACATAGAAGGTAAGCAGTATAGAATTTTTTTCCCGGCCAGAGGTGTCAGTGCACATGCACTCTTCTGCGTACTTGCGTGTTTCGCAGTACGTCTCTTGTTACAATTTTCATTTCAGCTGTAAAACACGGTTTGGTGACGTCCCACCGGCAGCTGATGGAGCGCAGGGGAGTCTGCCTCAGGGTTGTCGACTGTCAAGCTGTCAGACATTGAGTCAGAGTATTAATGGAGGCCTGTGTAGGGGTGAGGAATCCCCGATTATATCTACTACGATCTGGAATAGAGGAAATGCCGCAGAATTTGATTCTATAGAGCGTTATTCCTACAGGAGAAAACATCGTAAAAGGTCAGATTTTCGCGGTCGATTACCTCACTCAAGCTTTTGGGCCGCGAGGGAGCAGCACAGCAGCGGGAGTACGTTTATAACGAACTGGCAAAGGAGAGAAGCCACAAGAGTCTCTGGCAGGGGTCGAATTTTGGCAATGTTGGGGTTCGAACTGTCGGGACTTGACAACCCAAAGGATGAATCTCCCGTTGCGCAAAAATGCGACAGCGCGGCATTCTTAGGAGGTTTGATGCCCAAGAAGGAGGTCGGAGCCGACAGGTTTTTGGAGCGGTTTCCTCAATATGATGGAAGAGGAGTGACTATTGCTATTTTTGGTAATGCATTGACATTCAGGTCCTTTTAAGCTAGACCGAAACATAGACATGCTTAATATATTTGTTTGTATAGTTTGAGGATGTCTTATCATTTGAAGCGTGCGTTGGTTTTCGTCTGATCGCTGTCCTTGGGCCACAGTAAGCCTTGGATCTGCTCCAGGCTGGAAATTGGAAGAATCCTTTTAACGTAACCAGACTTACCCTTTGCTAAATTATATTGGTTTAGGAGGTTTATTTGAGGGTTTTGTTGATCTTTCGCTCTTTTCGTTTCCGCAACATATTTGCAGACTCTGGAGTAGATCCTGCAGCTGCAGGGTTAGAAACTACTTCGGATGGCAAGCCCAAAGTCGTGGATGTTCTTGACTGGTATGGATGTGGACCCACAATACATCATGTTTGTGCAGTTTTTACAGATACGATTTTATTATATTTGCTGAAGTGACGAGTTATGGAGATCAGATGATCGTTTTGGATTGACACTTGAAGTAGAGCAAGATCTTGCATTGTGATGATATAGAAAATGTACTCTGCCTTTTGCAGTTTTGTTTGACTGGTGTGTTCCTTTTTTTGTGCGATGATCATAATAATAAGAAGCTTCTACCGTATCGTGCAGCACAGGAAGTGGTGATGTCGATACATCTACGGTGGTGAAGGCAGACGGTGATGGTTACTTAATTGGAGCCTCAGGTTTTCATCATCCTGATCCTGTCGTTAGCTTATTTCTCACTTTTGCATGTTGCCGTGCTCTTGAATTATAGACACTGAGTCGACGGAACTGTTATATATACAGGAAAATTGTTGGTGACCTTTATCTGATGAGCTCACCATTGCTTGTGGTTGACAACACACTTAGGACATACATAAGCTACTTACATCTGACCGAATAAATTTTGTGTCGGGAGACTCACGAGCCGCAGATAAGCAATGTGACTGTATAATATCACGTGTGCTGGATATTTAGGAGTATCTGGTCTGGATCGTTTGTCTGGAATACGTTCGCTCTGTGCTTTTGTGACTTTCTGCCTCGGATTTGTGAAGGTGCTCGACTTCAGGTGAATAAATCGTGGAAGAATCCGTCAGGAGAATGGCACGTAGGATGCAAATTTGCATTTGGTCTCTTCACAGACACTCTTGTTGCAAGAATCAAGGTATTGCCATTACAATTTGTCGCTGACAAAACTTGTCGGATATGTTACTCTGATGCGAACCAGTATGACGCAATGGTTCGCTTAATGATGTCGTATTATGCCCTCAAACTTCATCTTCTCACATCGAACTATTTCGTATCTCTTTCTTTATTTGCTTCACTGGTTATTGTGCTTAGACCCGAGAGTACTGGATTTTCCGGAGTATATTGTTTTAGGTTGGATATCTGGGTTGTCGTGAGCAATTGTAGTTCTAGTGAAACCTCATTGACCTATACGACTTGCTAAAAGCAGTTGGTTCTTTTTGGATGTGTAGAAAGAGCGCAAAAAGAAATGGGCAGAGGAGCAGCGCGAGGCTTTGACAGAGGCTATGCGGCAGGTTACGGCTTTTGACGCGGTGGGTGCCTTTTCTTTGATTCTGACTTTGTTATGGTCATGTTTCAAAGCTTGTATTTTTTTCTCAAAAAATGGCAGCATTTATACAGACCGCGTCGGTCGTTGTTTTGAAGGTAAGGCCTTGTGACTACAGTATCTCTGACAGGAAAGTTTTCAAATGAAACCTCATGAGCTTAGAGTTATGATTCCGCGCTCAGCATCGCTATTGAGCTTGGACTTGTTGTCTTGCTTTTACTTCTCATTATTTTTTGCTTGTTTTCCAGCATATCTTTTAGCGGTGTTCAACTTCGAAATGCTATTTCTTCTCACAGTTCCTTGCTTGGCTGTAACGTCTTTTGCTTACTGACTGTTACTCTTTTTAGTGGTGGAGTTCCTCAATTTAATACTTTTCAGAGGATTTTCTCTGTTGCTTGATGTCTAATCTTCCCTGTCAAACAGGTTCATGCCAGTCTTTAGTTTTGCACTTAGACTTCCATTCTTTCTACATCAATCGATATCAGAGTTTTTTCATTTCCAGCATGATCTTACCAGTCACCACTAATTTTTGTCATGAAATTTTCAATAATTTAGTCATTCGATTGTTATCCTCTTATTATGCACGTTTTCTATGGTTATACAGAAATATCCGAAAGTTTCAGACACGGCACTGAAGAAGGAGCGTGAGGATCTAGTTGCAAAATGCGAATTTCTTCAAAAGCTATCTGATGTAAGGAGGTGTTGATCTTTGTAATTTAAGGATCAACAACAATGTGAATATACATGTGTGTCGACCGGAGCTGAGTGCTGAGCATTCCATGTGCTTTTTGTGCTCAGAATGTGTTAAGTGTATGTTTTGAAACCATCCATTTATTCTGGCACTTCACAAGTTGGATTGGGTAGCATTTCAATCTTACGATTTTCAGTTGACATCTGAAATGTCTCTTTGAATCAGAGTTACGAAGACAAGGGCCCAATTATTGATGCTGTGGTGTGGCATGATGGTGAAGTCTGGCGAGCTGCTTTGGATACTCAAGATATGGAAGGTGACAGTGGACTTGGGAAACTGATTGACTTCATTCCCATGACCAATTACAGGTTTGTAATACGATGTGTCTTACATCCAGAGCATGATCTCAAAAGTTTGTGGTTTTGTTGAGCGCCGCACAGACTTAGGATTGGTACTGACCTGTGTGTTTGGTCGCAGACTTGAACGCAAATATGGGATTTTCAGTCGCATGGATGCTTGTAGTTTTGTAACCAATATTTATGACGAGGGAAACATTTTGAGCATAGTCACAGACAGTTCTCCCCACGGCACTCACGTGGCAGGAATTACTGCCGCTTACCATTCCAAGGTGTAATTATATATCTTTGTGTGCTACCTCGCGAGATGATTCTTCTCAGAGTACCCCAGAGTCTTTTCCCCTAGTTTCCTCCATATTGAGCTGCATTGGTTTTCATTGACGCGCAGTGCCTTGCATTTCAGCAAGTTTGTGTTCCTTACCAAGTGTCGTTTTCGCCAAATAATGGGGTCTCTCAGATGACATGCACGATGTAAGAAAATGTTGCCACCTCACCGCCTGAACAGTCTACCACACATACTGACTGCGAAGTGAATCTTTCATTTGCTGGTTGTGACTCCTGTTTTGTCAATTAGGATCCTCTGCTGAATGGAGTGGCCCCGGGTGCGCAACTTGTGTCCTGTAAAATTGGTGACTCGCGACTTGGCTCTATGGAAACTGGCACGGGGTTAACTCGTGGTCTTATAGCCGTGATTGAGGTGTGTTCAAAGGAATGAGGTTTTGGTGATGCCAACTATCAACAATGCTGTGATGCAGTATGTTGAGTGATTTTTATCAATGTACTCTTGTGTTTTTGAAGTGTTGGGGGTTTGATTACTTCCTCTTACCCATTTTTGTCGCTTGTAGAACAAGTGTGATCTTATCAACATGAGCTATGGAGAGCCAACAATGATGCCCGACTACGGCCGATTTATCGAGCTTGCAACTGAGGTACTCATGTAAACAGGTTTACTAGATTAATAATTAAAGATTATCCGTTGAAAGAAATGCATCGGGCTATGCCTCGGAGCTTGTATGGTCGAATCTCCCGTGTACGTGCACTTCGGTCTCCTTGCTGTTGGACACGTATTATTTCAACTGTTCTGTCGACAGAAATATGATGTACTGTGTTCGTTGCTCTATCAAGTGATCGATCTCCTGTCATCAGTAACTTCTGTATATGTTTATGCCTATATGTACACTTTCAACACCAATCATATTTCCCGATGCTAGGACGGCACTGTACGTCAAGGTTTAAGAGGACAGCAGGCATGAGCTGCACCACTCTCCTCTGACTTGAGTTCATCTTCGTCTGCAGGTTGTTAATAAGTACGGGGTGATATTTATCAGTAGTGCTGGAAATAATGGGCCATCTCTTAGCACCGTGACTGCTCCTGGAGGCACCTCATCCAGCATCTTAGGTGTCGGTGCTTATGTTTCTCCTTCAATGGCAGCTGCTGCACACTCCGTTGTTGAACCTCCTTCACATGGCCTTCAATACACCTGGTAAGGTGAAAATATCAGTGTCGAGGAAAGCCATATTGGGTCAAGTATGAATCTATACTGTTGCCTTTTATCGAGTCAGATCAAATCTGGAACATGGTTGTTTCTTGATGTAAAGTTCTCTCCTCTCCAACATGGCTGATGTTGTCCTCTTGTGCCTACTCGCTTCTTAAGTACAGTAAGATCCATTATGTCCGATCTTAGTACATGCCTCGCTTGTCGGTTTAGTTAAAGCCTTTTGATCTGATGGACGAAGCATCTGTTATGCTACCTTGACCGCTGTGTCTGGTTATATCAGGTCAAGCAGAGGGCCAACACCTGATGGAGACTTAGGCGTTTGCTTGAGTGCCCCTGGAGGTGCCGTTGCTCCAGTGCCCAAATGGACTCTTCAAAAGCGCATGTTAATGAACGGAACGTCCATGGCGTCCCCTTGTGCTTGTGGCAGCGTTGCTTTAGTATTAAGCTCCATGAAGGTGAAAGCTTTACACGTTTTCTTGTTAAATTTACTCTTGACTCCTTTTCTCCCTCTGTGCACGAGCATATGACTTTCTGATCATTTGATAAATTTTCTTTACTTGATGGTTATTCGTTTCTACAGGCTGAAGGGCAAGCAATTAGTCCCCATGTAGTGCGGAAGGCTTTGGAAAACACGGCGCTCAAAGTGAGCGAATGTCCTGATGAGCCGTTGACAACTGGGCGTGGGCTTTTGCAAGTTGATAAGTAGGTTACACACTTTCACAATTTGTTCTATCCTGGACGAGCGTTGTATAGGTGTAAGTTTTATAGGCTGAGGATAGTATCTTATCTGCTTATAACACTGACCCATGCATCTTGAAGCTGCTTTCGGAGGATATGTTTGGAGCTCATTTGACACGTCTTTTGAAGAGATTCATTTCTGTCTTGAGTTTAGTTTCCTTGTAGAATTACACTTGGTCTACCCATGGTTGACTGTTGCAAAAATAGTATGTCTAGTGAGTGGACGAAGTTAAAAATCTGCTGCAGTTAAATGTGTCATCTACTTTAATCACTTGGCATATGCTCTTTAGACTTTGTCATTAGGTATGTCATGTCATACTCTTGTTGTGGTCCCCTCGGAGTCCCAACTGTAGTGATTTTACTTCTGAAGCGCTTCGAGTTTCTTTAGAAATTCGGATGGTGTTGGTTACTTGCTTTCATTCAGGTTTAAACGCTTATAAGTGGTGGACTCTTTTTGTTTCTTCATATTTGTTTGGCAGGGCATATGATTACTTACAAAAATGCAAGACTTTACCATCTGTGCTGTACAAAGTCCAGTTGAATCGATTTGGCACTTCAGGTATGGATCCTATGTGGTTCAAAATTAGCATGTACTGCTTTTCAATTGAATCATTCTACTCGTAGCAAGTCAAATCCTTGTAGTGCTTGCAGATTGTTTGATGGTCTATGTTTTTATTTCAAGTATTCGCTTTGGCTACAGGGGCCACTTTGCGCGGAGTCTACTTGAGAGATATTCAGGATTTGCAGCAGGCCAGCGAGGTATCCATGGTTGTCTGGTAGTGGTATTTGAATTGATCATAAACATTTGTAAGGTCTTATTTTGCTAATGAGCTTATGATCATTCAAGTGTAGAGCATGTTGAGAGGGTGGGCATATACTTGCTCGTTTATGGCGCGTTAAGTTACGTCTTCTGACATATCCATATGACATATGAAACTAATCCATGTAAATCGTGCCACAGTGGTCTGTGTCAGTGAAACCTCAATTCCACGAAGATGCCGATAATCTAGAGCTGATCGTACCGTTTGAAGAACGGTTGCAAATTGAGAGCACGAGTCCTACTTGGCTCAAGTGCCCAGATTACCTACTGTTGACCAATAATGGTCGCACCTTCAAGTATGTCGTTGCAGTGTGCTCGACTGACACTAAGACTGCATATTTTCTGCTGTAGTCCTTTTTATTCGACGTGTGAATTTGATAGTGTTCAAAGATAGGCTGAGGCAATGATGGGCTTCTAAATAAAAGGGCTTCTTTTAGGGGTTTAGGGTTTAGGTCGGAACGCTAATGACGGACTTGTTATTTTGCACTGTGATCACAGTATAGTGGTAGATCCTACGCAGCTCGAAGAAGGCGTCCATTATGGAGAAATTTTGGGAACCGATGTAGAAGCCCCATGGCGCGGACCGTCATTCCGCGTTCCTGTTACAGTAGTTAAGCCGATTCAGTTGTCAGCTGGTCATCCATCAGTGACATTTTCTGATCTATCATTTACTCCCGGTAACTAATAGATTTTTGATTTACGTTGGACACGATTTGAGTATTTCAGCACAGGGCTAAAGTATTCTTTTCTAAAATTGAAGTTATGCTGAAATCTTGTTAGATCTACCGCTTAGTTTTCTATGAACGTGTTAGCGGTGTATCAAAACGCTATCATTGTTATCACAATTTTCCAATAACAACAGCCCATTCATTTATAGTCAACTTAAGTAGCACCTTCTAACGTTTTAAGGTGTAATTTGAAACAGGATTCACAGACAGAAGATTTATTGTTGTTCCAGAAGGTGCAACATGGGCAGAGATCTCCATACGATGCCACGGATTTGATACCCCACGACGGTTTTTGGTTAGTGCTGTTCAGGTAATTGGGCGATACAACTCTTGGTAGCATCCTCTCGAGACGTATTTCTCTCTCACGTTTGTGAGACGTCTGACGTTTGAAATAGACTTGTAGAAAGTCATTTCTGTTACTGAGTGCATTCAAATTGAAGTACAATAATCAGCCATGTTCAACACGTTTACGTTGAGTTCCTTTCTGTTAGATGGTTATTTGACCTCTTGTGTCCTGCATCTGTAAATATAGCTGATGCCGAAGAAGAGACCAAGCGTCTGGGAGACGTATGCTACTTTTACCTCGCCATCGACGAAAGATTTCGCCTTGCCAGTTGAGGGGGGAATCACTATGGAGCTTACCCTTGCTCTCTTCTGGTCAAGTGGAAGTGGTAGTCATATACCGGCACTGGCAGAAATCCAGGTATTCCTCTCACGTAGTAATGTCACGAGTACTTCAAGCTTCTGGGGGTCTTTGTGGCTGTGTGTTGAAGTCTTTCTTAGCTTCTAGGCCCTTACTGCTTGTTGATTTTGTTCATAATTTTAACCGCCATAAGAGGGAATACAGCTTGTTGTTTTATAAATGGCAAGTTACACATCGGCGACGTGTGGGATAAACAGAACGATGACAAAAACCATCAAAAGCATAACATTTGCTCAAAATTCACAGATTGAAGAGTAAAACACTCAACAGACAGAAAGAAGAATTATTAGCACGGGATTCCAGCTTCTTCTGTGCAAGAAAATAAACTTCTCTTACATGTAATATTATAACTATATGTTAACTGATTTGAAATTGTTTTGTCTGAAGGTCGACTTTCATGGGCTTCTAGCCAATGAGCGGGAGCTGTGTATCAATGGAAGTGAATTAGTCACAAGAGTAGATATAAAAGCTCCTCTAGCAACAGAGCGGCTGGCGCCTTCGGCAACTCTTACAAGTGTGAGTTACAACTTAAGCCTTGTAGTTCAGTATCATGCCCTCATGAGTGATTCATTGATTGCTTTACAGAACGCTACCTAGAACCAAGTTCTAACCATAGCATTCACAGCGCAGAATTTGATTTGTTACTGTCATACTTGCCGTAGACTACAGACATGTGTGGTCTAGTCTGATTGTTACTGCTTTGACAACAAATGATTTGGTAGTTTCACGATGCGTTCACAACTTATAACCATCAAATGCGAGTCTATCACCACACAGAATCTTTGTCCTGTTCTATATTCTTGCATCTGGGTCAGGAAGGTAGTAAACGGAAAGGTGATACGTCTCGTCGTGGCGCGTTCTACATGTTTGAAGTATGTCGGTGAATGCCTGACCTGGAGTGATGTACATTGGCCTTCTGATACTAAAGTGATACTTCAAAATGATTATTTCAGTGGATGAGATACATTCGAATTGGAGATAAGTTTCAAATTGTAGTCTTACTAGATGAAGAGAGTTTGTGAGCAAGTTTGTTGTTTGGAACCTCATGCGTATGGAGGTACACATAAAGAGCTTTTTGTATCTGATGAACTCAAAAATGTTCGACCTATCCGCGAATAGCATCTCGCCGAAGGTGATCTTTTTTGGTCAGAACTAAGGTGTTTGAGTTACATCACATATCATGTAGTCGTAATTATGCTGCGTCTTGACCATATCTTGTGCTGAATTGTGTAAGTTGGCATTGGACATCAAGGACAACACCTTAAATGAAACACAATCTATTTTTCGCTTGAAAAGAATGAACTTTTTTTGTTTACAAGGTCTCTCACTTCTCACACACAGAGCTCTGAAGCAACTTACAAGTGTTGGTCGTTGTCCAATCTAAGTTGGCATACTTACCCGCTGCAGAACAACTTTGTTCGATGCGAGGGGGAAATGTGCATTTCTCAACCACATCTATCTGCTGGTATCGTCTGTCATATCCTTGTCACACTCTCAACAAGTGAGGACTGTGGATTTCTGTGTTTTTACAAGAGGATTGAGTAAAGAACTGACTTCAGTCTGAAGACTGAGTTACGGACGCACTTTTATGAACCCGCTGACTTGGATCGGGCTCTATAGTACAGGGTATAAAAGCTGGAGAATATGTTATTGTAACCTTTTACATGTGAATGGCTCGATAATGCAACCTATTGTTTTTCTTGTTTACTATTTCAAGTGAGTGTGTTTCATCAGCTTGGCTTCTTTGATGATGATGATTTACCTTTTCAGTAATTCAACACTTTTCGCAGGGTATTCTTGGTTTTTTTTTAGTTTTTTTTTTAATTTTTTAATTTTTTAATTTTTAATTTTTTACTTATGAGCAAAAGTGTGATGGTTTCAGATGTGTTTGCTAGGCGTTTGATTCACCCTGGAACTTTGATATTCTTCCGACAAGGCCCGTCGTTGGAAGAATACGAGAGAAGAATACTTTGAGAAATATCATTAAGCTCGATTGTATATTGCTTCCTGCCCTGCGCGAATTATACCTTTTAATGTTGTCAATCTTGTCATAGAGTGTCTACGATACACATGTCAAATACATGCATGACGTCAGCAAATACTTGGACAAAAATCACGAATTTTTCGTTTTGATGTTTGGACTTTTATTGTTACCATTTCAGGTCAGAGTACCATACAGACCTGTGGAGGCCAAAGTTGAACCTTTATCTGCAGCTCGGGACAAATTATCAAATGGACGGCAAATCCATGCTCTTACGTTAAAGTAAGTTTTTGCGTTCATCAAAGTTGTATTTGCCTTGAATCCGTGAGCTAACCCGTTGTCGTCTATAGTTCTAATTTTAGTGCGAATGCTTCTTAAATCAGAATCTATGCTTACCCCTGAGGTCAAACGAAACGAACAAAAGTTATAACATCTTGAGTCGCATACTTATTGGGTATGATGAGGGTTTGATAGGTTTTGAGTTTCAGTTATAGTCAAGTGCTGAAAACGGCCGATTTTGAAAAGTCTGTCCATCAAATCTTTTTCCAAGTTGTTGTGTTCTTGGTCAGCTGGTACTGAGTTCGAACTGACTATTTAAAATATTTTCTTAGGTACAAGTTTACATTGGGAGAAGCAGCCGAAGTTACCCCTCGCCTTTCGTATCTGAATAATAGAATTTATGACTCTGAGTTTGAATCTCAGTTCTACATGATCTTTGATACCAACAAGGTACAGTTTTCAGAGTAAAGCTTACTGCCGATGGCAAGCACTAAATTATCTGCACTCAGATAGACATTTTTTTTATGTGTATTAGCTGCTAATTGACTTGGAACTTCTTGCGTGAAACAGAGAGTTCTTGCAAGTGGAGACTGCTATCCTAAGGGCGTGAGATTGCCCAAGGGAGACTATGTTTTGCGCATGCTTGTCAGGTGAAATATTCAACTCCCAGGCTTGTGAACAATGTGTCATCTTACTTTCGGTACTGCTGTTAGAGTGGCATGCTTTGTAAAGGTTGGTATCTTAAGTTTTCTTTGGAATTTTTTAAAAATTTTCTTCTTGTCCCAATTTTCTATTGTTCTTCGCAAATTTGCACCATGTTAGTAGGGCGTTGCAGTTTATCTGGGAAAATATCTTCGTTATCTGTTCTGAATAGACTCGTAGAGGTGGAATATTTTAGTCACACTTTTCAAGTTTGATAGGCGTAATCGCTGAGTTATATAAGATATCGAAGAATTAGTGCTTGGCTAGATCTTGCTTTGATAACCTGGCATTAGCTTATTTTGGAATGGAAGTTATTCGTCAGATTTAGTCATTATAATCGAGTAAACGTCACGCATACATTTGCAAGTCGATGTATCAAGTTGATATACATGTCTCTATTTTCCTTCTCCTTTCTTCTTGCATCAAACCAGCTAAGGATATACTGTCTTTCTACCAAGTGAAAGTAGGTCTAACATTGATGGCATTCTGTTGACGGTGCGAACTTTCTTCATCCTTCACGAATCTTTGGTCATTTCTCAAAGTTGTAATGTCGATTCATTTTTGTAGGCATGATAACCTAAGCTATTTGGATAAGCTTAGGAAGAGCCCGTTGCTGCTAGATAGAAAGTTGGAGGAAAAGGTATGATAGCAATGAATCTAATCTACTCGTTCAAGTTACTGCATTTTGTGCTCTCGTTTTCGATAAGTAAATAATCCTGCTCGTTTCTTAATACCAACTGTTGAGAAACACCCTTTTGTGTTTCTCCTATTTGCTGGTAATTGTTGATATTCCTATTATGAACTCGTATGCACAGCACGTCTGCGATATCGGCACATTTGAGTAATCCTGTGGTTCACCATCTACCAATGTTAGAACAAGAAGTAAATTACCGTTTTTCACGTCTAACATGATGTTAGCTGGATCTCATGGCTTGCAGAATCATGTAAAGCTGAGTTTCTTCTCACATATCGATGGTCCTATAACGGGAAGTGATCAAGTCAAGGGGAAGACGCTTGCACCTGGGTAGATTTCATCTACAACTTCAGTAGAGTTTGAACATCTCGAAATAGTCGGCAAACTAAACAGTGTTTATATAGGTTTCTGTGACGTAATTCTTGATTGTTTAATGTTTGAATTGCTGTGAAAGCCTCGTTATCACGTCACCTAAACCCGTTTCGCAAAACCTTTGTCTTCTAACCTGAAGGTCTGTATTGGGCGCACACTAACATTTGCCTTGTATCATCAGGGAAACATACCCCCTTTACCTTGGTTCTTCTGCTGATGACAAGCTACCGAAGGTAGTAGATTTAAGCATTGTTCGGCAATGGCCATGATTTTTATGCACTTAGAGCTGTGATAAAAGTAGTTCTCAGCAGGAACCTTGGCAGTTGGTATGATTGATGTAATTTGCGGAAACGCTGATGATGACTTTCACGTTCTTGTATGAATTATATGCAGGATTCCTTTCTGGGTTGTACGTTGATTGGGAAAGTACGGTGGGGAAAACTTTCAAGAGGAAGCACAAAGAATGACCTGGACGGCGAGGATTGCCCGGCTTGTTCTCAGCTGTCATATGTCATCCCACCACAATCCAAGGTTATTTTGGGTGGTGAAATCTTGTTGTAGTATATCCGATGTCTGGAGGAAAGGGCACTGAAGAGATGCCACAGATGTTTTCTCACATACTTTTATTTGTTAATATCTGACCACTTGTACCATTCATCGCAAAGAATGCTGAGTCTCTACTCTTTATCTTCTAGGATGAGACTGTTGATGTTTCCAATTCTTGAAATCACAGTTCGGCTCTGACTCATGAACCCTGGTGTCATTTGGAAGTACTGCTTTCCTTCGCAGCACATAGTCAAGCTGAATTGTGGTGTGCGTCCTGTATCAGCCAGAAGAGAAGGGAAAAGAGAAGTCTTCATCTGAAGTGAAGAAATCAGTAACACAAAGCCTGGAGGAAGAGGTCGGCATTAACGATTTTTTAACTTTTGAAAATTCTTGAAGTGCGAAAGAAGACCTGGCTTGTTGTTCTAGAATGTTAACAGTTTTCAAGTATGTTAGTCAGGTGTTGTCCCGGAAATAATTTGCAAGTTGTTTCCAGATGCTTTGAAAAACTTATCGTCAACGTTGGGTTTGTAGATACGTGACGCGAAAATCAAGGTGCTGTCAAGCCTGTCCATTTCCACAAAAGAGGAGCGCAAAGACTGGGATGACTTAGTAGTCGTTCTTCAGGTAGTCTTTCATCTTGATTTTGGCATCCATTTCTTGTCGTAGGTACAATCTAATGGAATCTGAGATCCATTTGTCGGACTCATAAAATGTGGATCTTTCCCGCAGACTGAGTATCCTAAACATCTCCAACTGAGGGTAGACATATTGCAGAAGCTGGCCACTTCCCAGGAGAAGGAGGACAAATTGAAGGTGCTAACTACTACTTAACTACGGAATGGACATGAACTAGTAATCAGTAACCAACTTGTTTTGGCAAAATCTCGTTCAATCTCGATTGCATTAATTGCGTCTGATGATTTTGGTCTTTAATCAGTGTTCTTCTCGGTTAGGCTAGCTGTGAAAGCTGCGGAGCAACAGATGACCCAGGACGTATGTCATAGTTCGTTATCTTATTTGCTTGGGGCATCTTTGTGTCTTGAGCTTATGTGTTGACTTCAATTTACAGGTCATTCAGGCTGCAGACGACGTCATATCGCTTATCGATACAGATGCCCTTGCAAAATATTTTGGATTAAAGAGTGATTCTGAAGATTCTGATGCTGCGGTGGGTTTATCTCATTTCTTAGAAGTCCGTAACTAATGTAGAAATGCAATCTTGGTGGATACTGTTTACTGTATGTTTTATTTGGTTTGTTTGATGATTATTTACCGCAAAACGGTTTGTGGGGTCTTGATGGCTTCTATGGGATGAAGGCTCTGCCAGATTATTCTGATCTCAAGGAGACTCTGATGCAGCAAATGAAGAAAGAGATGGAGACTCAGCGTGATGCCTTGGCCGATGCCCTTTACAAAAAGGGCTTGGCGTTAGTCGACATCGAAGAGCAAGCTCCTGTGAGTGAATTGGTTACAAAGACCTATGGGTTACTTTTGCATAATGAGAATGAGCTGTTCAGCTTTAACATTGTCTGTAATGTAAAACCGAATTGTATCGGATGAGATTTTATCAATTACTGGAGAAATGACGGGTAGTCCCTTTGCAGTCATAGTTTCTGAAGTGATTCTCTTGTATTTGAAATTCCGTTGATGTCCAGAAACCCAAACGTATGTTTCCTCTAACTCATCTTCTTCTTTGATTTACAGGAAACTACCACATCTACTAAGGCCGAGGAAAAACTTCCTGAATCAACTGGAAGCGATTTATCACTCACGGTAGAAGGGGAGGCCCCTAATTTGGGAACAAAATCCACGACGGCTGACAAAGCTGGTTCAGGAGATGAAAAATTGGACCTATTTGAGGAGAACTATAAGGAACTTCGCAAGTGGGTAGATACAGCGTCATCGAAGTTTGCTCTACTGACGGTGAAACGAGAAGATCGAGCGGGGCGTCATGGAATTGCTATAAAGGTCAGATTTTGTAATAATTTTTTTTGTAATCTAAGAGAATGCACCAGTACAAAAGAAAGGGGCAATTGTTCACTGGGACGAATACGTACATCAAATACTTAAAAGTATCACTGTCGATCACATCAAGAGAATGTCATGTACAACTAGGTAGTGTTCATCGAATGCGAATGCATTCGAGGAAACTTGTCGACCATCTCAGGGGTCAGATGATTTAGGCTTCTGAATTTGGTATTTAGTTCCCCTCTTCTAAGAAAAAGACTAGATGCAAATTCTAGGCCTGTCTTGCTTAGAATGGGTTACGTTATATCACCAGTATTTGTCAGCTCATAGACAGCATTCAGAATGCCGGATTGACACCAGCGTTTGAAATTAGCTTATGAAGATGCTAAACTGTATAGCCTAGGCTGCTCTCCTTTGTGTCGAGTGTAGAACTTTCGAGACGATGAAAGGCAAACTAACTATATGTGTCACCTGGAACAGGCATTGAACGACTTAATTCAAGATGATAGCAAGCCTCCTCAAAAGAACCTGTTTGAGTTGCGAATTCAACTCTTCGAGAAAATTGGTTGGGCTCATATTGCGGCATATGAACGAAAATGGTTGAGTGTAAGGTTTCCATCTGGGTATCCTCTTTTCTAAACTTCAGGATTAGCTGACAGCAAGAGTCCAAGGTTAGAAACCAACAGCCGTCTGGACAACAGGTAGAATCAGAAAGCCCCGATTAGTTGGGGTGAATTGCCACTCGATTGGATTGTGATTTTTGTTAGGAATCACCTCATAAGCCCGAAGCTTTTGCGAGGAGTTTAGGTGATTTTATAACGACCTCTTCATAACTCGCCAGTGAGATCTATTCCTGCAGCTCATGGACTCAGTAGAAGACAGCCTGTTATCAGGTTTTCGTGAGGGTTCATTGTAGTCTAGTCATTAAATTATACATTAATAACACCGCCATCACATATATGGTTGTATTTGTTTTTCTGAAATGTACCTGAATGGGAAGGCATGAGAACAGTGTCGCATGATTTCTGGTCAGTTGTTCTCCTTATACTTTCCAGTTTTTCAGATATATCAAAGGTGCACGATGTTTAGGAATGACTTGCTTGTAATTTAGAAGGATAAGAGTCCGATGATGTCTTTTTCATTTGTGTAATATCTTCGACTTATGTATCGGGTTGTTTTTTCACCTGCACATAGTGCCGATTTTTGAAATTCGTGTCCGTTGCTGTTATGTTTTGCTTCAACCTTTGGTTCAAGGAGAGAAGATAGTTGCAAGTATTTTGTAGTGGGATTTTCAAATTTTAGTATATAAGGTAAGCTCGTGGATGAGACAGAAGAGAAGATGCTGAAACCGATATTTGATAATCTACCACTGAAGTGACTGCTGATGTGCTTCTAGAATGCATTCATCAAGGAGACAATCTAGGTGGTATCTGAAGAATAATAGTCATCGAAGGTGACAATATTGATTTGTTGATGTGGGATCAAAGTAATCATAGCATTGTGTGCTGATTGTAGCATGGTGGATTCTTTAGGACTTAGTTTCGTTGTGCTACAATCAGCAATGAAAACACTTGTATCCAGTGCCAGGATTAATATGATCCCACATTAGCGGAAGAACAGGTTCCAATTTGAGCTGGCGAAACAAATACCATCTCCAAGAAAAACCTGAAGTCGTTTCTAACTGCAAGTGTAGTTTCCTTTGATGTGGCAACGTGTAAGTCCTAATAACCTTTTCTTGTCTCACTTTCAAACGCTTCCATTTCATAAGTAAATGCAGGGTCAGTGTATGATGATGGACTTCGTACTCACGGCATTATAGCCCGTGCTGTCGCACGTGGTGTAATACGGGTCCCTTCCAAAAGCTTTTCAAGACCTGCCAACAACTCTACACAAAATGTTTCTTGACTAGTTACAGAGGCTGGCATGAGCTCACTCCGTATAGAATATGCAGCTCCAAAAATTGTTGACCATTGTTCTCTCCAAGTAGTCACCTTGTGTGGTATTATTTCCACACTTTGAGTGAGCAATTCTAGGTCCACTATTTGTACCTTGCAATGCCCCTAGTGCTTGTCAAAAGTTTAAAATAGTATTCATTATAACGAACATCTCAAAACCAAACACACAGCCACACACATGTGCCTTCGGATCTCAGCTAAAACTCAGGCCACGTTTAAAGAACATAGCAAGAGTTTAAGCAATGTTCCCGCAGAGATTCAGACCTATCGTGTTAGATTGAGCACGCCATGCTGCTGTTCTTTCCACCAATTTTATTAGTATCAAGCTCACAATGACACAATGATAAACTTCATCTTTGTAAATACTGCCGTACAGTTGGCATATATGATTCCTTTTGGAATTTTGAGGAAACAATAAATCATTAACATGAATGAGTACGTAAATATGAAAATGTCGGAGTGATATTGTTTGGGAGAGACTTTTTTGTGATTGCTTGTGATGTGTTGCTTAAGGAAGTATTCATGTTGACACTGGGGCGCTTCGAGGATAAGGTGGAAATGCACCATGTGCGAGAGATTAAGATATACTATCTAAACTTAGATGAGTTAAAACTTACAGAAATGTGAGATTGATTTTGAGTTTGTTGAGAGAATTGCAAATAATACACAACATACATGCATTTTCGATATCACAATGATTTAATACGTAGAATGTTCATTACTATAATGGAGCTATTGTAGTATTGTTTCTATCATTATTGTGTTCTTTAAGTTGATATTCTCCAACAAATTTTATTAAATTTCCATTTATGAAGTTCGGAGTTTTATTACTGCTTCATATCAAAAAATTACATGAATCTGCTTATCAAAATTTGCTTAAGCTTTTGTAGAATCAGCTGTTAAGATAGATAGTAGATGTTAATTCTAGTAAGTTTAAACTATGATATAAAGTGTCACAATGACAAAACCTTCAGTTGGATAAAAATATTAATGTTGACTGAAGAGGATTTCCATTTGATGGCTTGTATTTGGAATGAGAATTAAAAATTGGAAAAAAATAATAGTACATGTTTTTTTTTCATCAGGTATAGATATATTAAAAAATAAAATTATCAGTGAAGTTCAAGCTAAGAAAATAACTATATTCAAATCTTGATTCTTTACTATTTCAATTAGAATATATGCATCTTCAATTAACATGTGTGTATGAGGTTTCAATATGTGTATGTTTCAATAAAACAAGATGAATGTTATTTCAAGTTTACGGTTGATCTATCATGATTTTTGTAAGAAATTTATGAAGAAAAATGAGTCAGATATTTAAGTTGATTGTGTTTTTATTTATAGATATGACATTACAAAATTTATTAAAAGAATATTTGAATGAGAATTGAACATGTTTAATAATTATAAAATACAAAAATGTAGTCAAACTTTCAATATAATTGAATATGAAAATAAATTGTTGAAAAAATTAATTTGATTAGAATCAGATGATTTTTTATAATCATCCATTTAACAAATATATATATATATATATATATATATATATATATTGGTTGATTAAAATAAGAGATTTTAATCAAATAAATTTTTTTTGTATTGTTTAATGGAAAAGAAATGAAGTATGTGAATTATATCAAATATATAATTTACATTTTATCACAACACATGGTTTTCAATGAAAGTTTGACATGCTATTTAGAACATTAAAAGCAACGTTATGATCAATTGAATATAATTTTTTGATAAGAATATTTTGTTTTTCAGAATTCATCAACTTGAAATTAAAAAAATCAGTTAACTATATTGAGTTCAACTTAGGTCAAGGAGTAATCTCATGTTATAGCTATTTATAGTTAGGTGTGTCGCTTGCTTTGGGTATAAATATACCCCCAAGGCTTCTAATCGTGTGTACATTTGTGTATTTACTTGTGAGTAAACCTCTCAATGTTACAACTGTGTACATAGCGCTTGAATGTGAACCAAGTTATATGAGTGTTTTGTTTTTTCGTACTTGGTTTGAATGAGTCTTGGTTTTACGTTTAGAAATTACATATGTTTACTAATTATGAATACAATATCTTTGACAAGATTTATACCATAAAATATATTAAAAAAATTATTTATATCATACTCAATAAATATTTTATGATAATAAATATCATAATGAAAATTTAGTTTTTGATGATGAATTTTTTAAAAATGGAATTTAATATTGCATGAAAAAAACAAAAAAAAATCATGATATCTGATCCATTACAATACAATGCATAATCTTTGTTAATTTTTTTTTTCAATTTCTTCATTTTGATTTTGAGTAAAATTATTACAGAAGTGTTTTTTGCTTTGAAAATTTCCAAGTACAGTAGAACCTGTCTAAGTTAATACTGCAGAGACCGGCAGTTTTGTATTAATTTAGACAGTTTATTAATAAAGAGAGTTTCTCTGTTCCATCATTTGTGGTGGAAGAACTACTTGCACATTGACTAGAGTCAATGATTTTGTATGGAAAGCTAATGACTTGATGTAACAACGAGACATGTTTTGAGATTGAATTGTGTCGAGCTTAGTAGTGTTATAGCGTTGTCGTCATATTCGTAAACTGCATTCCAGAGAAAAAAAATCATGCATGTCGAGAACACAAAGGATTCTTGAAGTTATTGATTTTTGAAGGGGGAGAAGGGGAGGGAGGGAAGACGAGAGAGAGCTCGTATGTGAACAAATGCGCTTCGATGTTCTTTTGTTCTTGGCAAGGCTATTGCGAGAAAGAATCCGAGTCGGTACAGTCAGGTCAGAAGTTACGTGACAAATGTACTTTGTATCCATCCACCTCAGCTGCGGTCTCCGCCACTCGCAACCCACATCATTTCTCTCCACAGTTTATTTCTCTGCAGTGGTTATTAATACAAAAGAGTTTTGGGACTCCCTGTGGAAGATTAATTATTAACTTTTGAATGTTTATTAATAAATACAGAGATCCGACTTGGAATTGGACAGTATATATTAGTTATCACAGGTTATTAACTTAGACAATATTAATTTAAATAGGTTCTACTGTAATTAAGTTTATTTTCAAGTATTATATTTTTTATCTTTATTTCAAGCAATATTAAAGTTTAAAATTTTAGAAATTTCAATTGATTTTGATTGAGGGTTTTTATTTATCGAATTTTCAGAACTTGGCTTACACATTAAATCAAGTTTAAATGATCAGAATTGAACACAATCAAGCTTAAATTAATCATTGCAAAAAACTAAACACCATTTATTGCTATCGGAAGCAATAATTATTTGGTTTGTTATGATATATACAATTCATACATACAGTGCAAATTGAATATTGAACTTGATCAAGAATACTATTTCGTCAGAAAGTTAGGACCTAAATTTATATTTTCTATACTCTATCATATGTCATGTGTATGCACGTTAGTGCATTTGCAGATCGACTTTAGATTTGAGTTTGAGTCGGAGACACGTTGGGCCGCGGCAGACAGTCCCTGAGCGTTGTATTGGATTGACGTTTCACGTAGCATATATTTTAGGCGAACTCAAAGAACTGTTAGTTCTTCAGGTTGAGCATTACGCGCAAAAGATTTCTCCACTAGGTTCGACTCTAATCTCCCAGTGAGGAGTGAGTTTGGCTCCACTCTCTATGTATTTATGTTTTGACATTTGTACTCGAAATACCTTTGTGTGTGGACACTCTCGTTCCTTTTGTATGTATGAGTTGTGAGTAGAGCATGTCAGCGATATATGATGTATAGCGATAGCGAGTCACACGACAGATAGTTAAGTTATCCCAATTGTAAACCAACTACAGTATCATCTCATCGTTCTTTACACTATTCATTAATGCTCATAACATTAGTCAACGATGATATTGTTATGACGAGAGAATAATGGATCGTAGCAAGAGCATACATCAATACTCTTTGTCGGGAAGATGAATCTTTACATAGACACAATCTTTGGTGAGATCTATCTTGACATTTGCATCTTTGTTAATCATATCGTAGTGATTGCACATGAAATGGAATAGAATTCAGTGTAGTCAACTGAACTATGCAAACATATATATATGCATGCTGATTTTACAAATACGCTGTTTGTTATGGCAATATTATTCGTTAATGTATGTATAGGTCTACATAAAGTTTATACATTTTGTTCAGAAATGTTACATGTATGAGTACCATATTCTTGGATACAACAATATAACAAACTTACGTCGGTGGTGCCGAGTTACGAACTCTTACTTTGTAAGGTTTTGAAATCATGTAGAAATATCAAACGCCAACTTTGGACAGATGAGAGAATGATCTAAAACATTAGTACCTCCTCAATGAGAGCAATGATCTCGTTTTAATTATTCAATTTGACATGTGAGAGATTTATCTAAAGCATTGATACATTTTCAACGAGGACAATGAGCTCGTTTCAACTATTCCAAAATTTGTGTAATTTTAGTGCTACCAGGAAGTCTCGTTCAAGTGCCGTCGAGCGCCCGTCGAGTCCCGGAGGCTCTGAAAGAAGCTGGAGACAGGGGCAGCGAGGGTCGAGGAGCTGGCCATGGCCGAGAAATTTTGGCTCTTTCGCGCGTATGATTCGGTCGTCAGGCTGCAGGCGAAGAGAAGGTTTCTCGTGAGGTCTAGGGCTTAAGAAACAGTGAGGGCCGACTTGGCGCATGTGTCGATTGGCGGACGGCTTATACTCGCGCGAGCACGAGTGTTGCGATCGATCGATAGATCGACTGTAAATGTCCATTAGCCTTGTGGTCTTGTTGGCACGGTCGTTGTTCTCCGACATGCGGAGCAGGCGAACAGATCTGTGGACGCTGTCGTGGGCTGCAGACTGTAGCCATTAGCTTCCTTTGCGCGTGAAGCACGAGGTTTTACACGGCTCTGGAACGGCGGCTTTTTATTTCTTCTCTGTAATTTCTTCGAAGTCTTTGACGCCGAGATGTCGAAGCGGAAAGAGTCCATCGCGAGAGGGGATGGTGATAAGCTGGATATCACTCCCCTCGGAGCTGGTAATGAGGTTGGGCGCTCGTGCGTCTACATGACGTACAAGGATAAGACTGTCCTCGTAAGCTTCTGTGACCTTTGTGCCTTCATCTTTCTCTTCGGAATTCACATCAGTTATGTCGTTACGTCCGATCATAGCTCCAGCTGCATTTTCTTTTTCTGTCAGACGCTGCAAATTTTTTTCTCCTCAGCAGTTCAAGCTGCGCTCTCGCTTTGAATTGATCATGCATAACGTGATTACCTGTCTACAATATGTTTTGAGCTCAGAGGTATCCCTTTGTCACTATATCAATTTGAATTGAGCCTTTGAGAAATTCTGTTACAAACGCCTGGATTCTTATCTGCATATCTGTCTTGAATCAGTTCGATTGTGGAATTCATCCTGGTTACTCGGGCATGGCCGCTCTACCGTATTTTGATGAGATCGACCCGTCAACGATAGACGTTCTCCTGGTTACGCAGTATGTTCCGACACATTTTTTTCTTATGTACTCGTGAATTCTGTGGCTCACTAGCATCGAACGATGAAAGACAACAAAGATGCTGTTGTCGTTCTTTTTATCCATTTCTTTCTCAGGAGCAAACAGACTGACTCTCTTCTCCCCTGGGTTTTATTTCCTGTAGCATTTGGATGTTGTAGGGCAGTTTTAAAATGCAATTATTTTACTGGGAGTTTTCTTCAGTACATGGTAAACTAAGACCCATACGGCAAGGTGGGGCCGAGTCTATGCCTTCGCAGTTAGAATTCTGATCCACTTTCGGAGCTTCTGTTCTGTCTTAGAAAGTTTCTGCGATAATAGTTCATTATCATCCCTTTTGATGAAGCTTAGCTTCTTTGAACTTAGTATATATCTCACGTAAGAAGTGTTGGTGCATTTAAGGATTGCAGTACTCGTGAAAAGTTTGTCTCTGGTAATATAGCTGTCCTAACATTTTATCCTGTCTGCAGTTTCCACCTTGATCACTGTGCTTCCCTTCCGTATTTCTTGGAGAAGGTGCGTCGATCAGAACTAACCCTTCCGCACAAGATTACTACTAAATGGAAATCATCCACTTGTTGACTCATTGGAATTGTATCTTGAGGGGCCACTGTGTGGTTTTTTTCAGACTACGTTTAAAGGAAGAGTGTTTATGACTCATGCTACTAAAGTCATCTACCGTCTCCTGCTCAGCGACTTCGTCAAAGTCAGCAAGGTTTCTGTGGATGACATGCTGTACGATGAGCAGGATATTCAACGGACTATGTCCAAGATCGAGGTCAGTGTCCATCTAGGGGATATTTCACCTTATATGCTCGTCGGACCTGAAATGTGCATGAGGATTTCTTCTTTCTTCTATTTTCTCGACCTCCGTCGACAGCTGCTGAGCTTAGTGAATAGGTCAAGGGGATTGGAGGTGGAGTTTGTGTTTCATGAACTAGTACACAGAATTAGTCATCGTGGTCTCGGAATGTTGTGCTTATTGTGTCGAGTATCGTATGAGAAACCGTTCTGTCGTCTTGGAAGAAGAGCTGAATGTACATCTCTGAGTTCGCCTAAAACTTTAATCGAGGTTTCTCATGTTTGTCCTCGGCATTTTTTCCCAGGTGATCGATTTCCACCAGACCATGGAAGTCAATGGCATTCGGTTTTGGTGCTATACGGCCGGGCATGTGCTAGGGGCTGCGATGTTCATGGTGGACATTGCCGGTGTTCGAGTCTTGTACACAGGAGACTATTCTCGAGAAGAGGATAGACACTTGAAAGCTGCAGAAATGCCGCAGTTTTCTCCGGATGTGTGCATTATTGAGTCGACCTATGGAGTGCAGATTCATCAACCACGAATAGTTCGAGAACGAAGATTGACCGACGCAGTACACCAGACAGTCACCAGTGGGGGCAGAGTCTTGATTCCTGCATTTGCTCTCGGGCGTGCGCAGGAATTATTGCTTATACTCGATGAATACTGGGAAGCTCATCCAGAACTACATCACATACCAATATACTACGCCTCTCCTTTGGCAAAAAAGTGTATGTTAGTCTATCAGACCTACATAAATGCCATGAATGACCGAATTCGAAGCCAGTTCGAGGTTTCAAATCCGTTTATATTCAAACACATTTCGCCCTTAAAGAGCATCGAGCAATTTGAAGACAATGGACCATCTGTGGTGATGGCTAGTCCTGGAGGCCTTCAAAGTGGACTCTCTCGACAGTTATTCGATCTGTGGTGTCAAGATAAGAAGAGTTCTTGTGTCATACCGGGTTATGTTGTTGAGGGATCTCTCGCTAAGACCATTATGAACGAGCCGAAGGAAGTAACCCTTATGAGTGGTTTAGTAGTACCTCTTAATATGAAAGTTCACTATATCTCTTTCTCTGCCCATGCAGACTTTACCCAGACTAGTGCATTTTTAAGCGAGCTTAGCCCTCCCAACATCATTTTGGTCCACGGAGAGTCTAATGAAATGGGACGGTTGAAAGCGAAACTACAAACTCAGTTTGCGGAGCAGAATGTGAAGGTGTTGACCCCTAAGAATTGTCAAACAGTTGAAATGTTTTTCAAAGGCGAGAAGATTGCTAAGGCTGTAGGGCGATTAGCGGAGAAGACTCCCAAGGAAGGAGATCCAGTCAGTGGGTTCCTTGTGAGGAAGGGTTTCAGTTACCAGCTCATGGCCCCCGATGACTTGGCTAGCTATACTCAGCTTTCAACAGGAAGTGTGATGCAGAGACAGTCAGTCCCTTACAAGGGAGCCTTTGCTGTTCTGAGGCATCGACTTCAACAAATGTACGAAGGAGTGGAGACCGTTGCTAAGGCGGAACTGGCTACTTTGAAAGTGCATGACAAGGTGACTGTGATACAAGAAGGAGTGGATTACATCGTTTTACAATGGGTTTCTGATCCAGTAAGTGACATGGTGGCCGACTCCATCGTTGCCATGGTTCTTAAACTTGATTCTCAAAGCATGGGTGGAATCGTCTCGAATGGGTTCAGAGCAAAGGAGGCTCGATTAGAAAAGGATGAAATTAGAATTGTGCACGCTCTGTTAGTGTCTCTGTTCGGAGATGTGAAGCTTGACGAGAAACAACAGACTTTGATTGTCACAGTGGATGGAGCTGTCGCCACCGTCGATCATGCCAACAAGGGAATCGACTGTAAAGATGAGAATCTGAAGAGCCGGATCAAGGTTGCTCTTCGGAGGATACAGACAGCCTTGTATCCCTTGGATTCGTGAATCTGAATTTGCTTACACAAGGCCCCTTTACTGATATGCTCATGGCTTTGGCCATTCGTCGACATGGATTGTGTCGGCAATGACAAGGTATTGCCGATACAGCTCCTTGCTATGTAGTGGGTGAAGAGCATGCGAACGTTCTACCTTGCAATTTTGACTTCGAGCGAGGAATGAATATGGGGCCTATACATCAGCTCATTTCATTCTGAGCTTACGTAGGAGAGAGAAGACTCATGAACGAATGAGGAGGGATTGAAGAGTTACGGTGGAATTTAGATTGAAGCAATGTGATCAGGAAGCACCCTTGTCGCGCACATGTGAAGTGGAAACTGTTTCACTGCTTGCAGGCTTGACCACAAGTGCAAGCAGGTTGAGAAGGATTACTTGTAAGCATTTGGTCACTTTTCCACCGCCTCCGGCTTTGGTCGGTCTGAAGAGTGAATTGTAGCTAGTGTTCGTCCGGTCAAACATCACGGCTTTGCAGACTACCCGTTTGAGGAGCGTGGATAGGTTCCATTTTTATTCGATGAGCTGGAGACATTTCATCGTTATACCATTCTTGAGTTTCATGAACTAGGGACTAGGGCTCTCAAACTTGCAACGAGCCTTATATTCCAGGTGAGTGGCATCACCTTGAGCAGAATAAGACTTCATTTTTCTTTGGATGAAGGACAAAAGTGTCCTTTAAGAGTTCCAACGGACCTGCTGACTTGCTGCACTGAACTGTGGGCTGGTCTCATGTGTGTTAATGATTTACCGGGCACGTACAATTTCTGAGCGAGTTCTTGGAGCCCGGAGCAGGTTCTTGTAATTTAGTTCGCGTGGCATTGTACTTGGCTATACTCGAGCAGTATGAACGGCGATATTAAGGAACAGTGTGAGCTTACTTTGGTGGCAGATCTAGACTTGACTTCTCTCACTGTGATAAAATGAAAAGCTCTTACTGCTGACCACTTATTTTGGCTGCAATCAACAACAATTGAGGTACAAGGCGCAGGTAGCTTCCCAATTTTGGAACTTATCGTGAAATGGAGAGGAAGTGAATGTTTTTACTGAAAGTTACAGGTGGCGTTAAACGTAAGAGGACGTGCAGCTTGTAAAGTATCATGTTATTAGTAATCGCTGTGAACTTGCATCAGATGTTCAAGAAACAGGTCTTCACGTTTTGCTTTCCCATGGTATCAACCTTTCATTCTACATGGGCATGATGCAGGCTACGGGCGGCTGTCAACAAAGCTAATCCAGAACAACTGGGTTCACTTACCCTGATGCAGTGATTGGAGTCAATCAGTTGAAGGAAGCTACATTCTTTATTCTGTTCACTGTGCCTTGTTTTCAGCAGCTAGAATCTTGTCGGCTTTCTGAGCCTTCTCCGCCAGTAACACGGTTTGGCGGTTTGTAAATGTTGGTATAATACGGTTTGGCTGTTAAATTTTCAAATGGAGACTCAAGTCTTTGCTATATCTCGGTCTGATCGATTCATGAATTCACTTATGCTGTTTGTGGTCGGATGCGTTTGTTGGTTGGAATCATACTTGGAGTCCATGCAGGTTTTATCGCATTGCTAAAATATATTCAATCTAAAATACAAATGAAAGACTTCAGTGACATTGTCGAACTTGTTGATAGAGTATGAGATGGGAGCATGCATTGTTGTCGGCTGAAAGACTTGAACCTAAATTGCAAGTGTTCTTGTGGTATATGCAATATCGATTGCGTCCACTGGCTTGGATCCAGCTCCTATCTGATCTCACTTCTTGTTAGATATAAATGTCTTCCAAGTTATCGTACACTAAGATGTCACGGGCAGGGTTTTGGATAGAATGCTGCTCACAGTATCTCAAGACCTCACTCGAGCTCAAAGCAGTATCTGATATAAATATGGTAAGATACAATCAGACTAAAACAGAACGGGAGACTGTAAATGACGAAGTAACTCGATACTATGATGTCCTCGAAGAACGAGGTTTGATAAAAACTGGATTACAGGACTCTTGTCAATCCAGAAACCTGGTTTGGGTAAGGGAGAAGTATTCAATTTCATACCGCAGAAGAACCTCTAGGGCAATTCCTTAACCGGAGATTTGAGTCCAATGCAGAACGCTTGCGACGCAGCTTTACTCAAATCTCTTCAAGTCAAAAGTGAAGGGAATATTTCAGAATAACTTCTAGTTTAGATATGTATTGTGTGCACTTAAGCTCAATGCTAACCTGATTAACCGAAATACACAGACTTTTAAGTAGCACTTCAGCTACCTCTCATGTTTACTCTTACTATGAGAAAAAAATTGCACGAAATACTGGGTATTAATAAGGTCATGAAATTAATACTCGTTAGTACAGTTTAAGTTTGTTTTGGAGAAAACAAAATGGAATAGGATGAAGCATTATCATCATTCAGGTACAAACACAAAATTGATGTACTGATGTATTGATGTACATTCCAGTGAATGTACTTTACAACAAGATCTTCAAAAAGAAGCTTCCAGTCCATGTATTATTTGCTCTAATTATATCAATGATCTATTTTCTGAAATGTGATGTTGACCACTCAAATATACAACAGGTTGTATTGTTATCTGTTTCTTGTAAATGATAACTCTCTAACTTAAGAATATAAAGTTCTTGTATAAAAACATTTTTTTTGGTTAAAAATCTGGTTTTTTTCTAACATAACGTCATCAGAAACCTTAGCATCATCGTACATAATCATCTAAATTGGTCTGGTATCCAAATATATGTTTCAGTGAAAATGCCACCGAACTTTGCAGAGTGATCTGAGGAGAATGACCATAGGTCAGCCATGTCTGCGTGGCATTCAATCATGTTTCTCATAAAATGATATAAACACAAGGAATAGAAAACTTATATATTAGAGAAACGAATGTCTTGTAGTGGAGCATGTGTATCATCAGGAGAGAGGTATGTGACTCTAAGTCTATAATGATATCTAAACCTTATAATTCTTCAATTTGGATATATGACGGTTTGGCCGAGTGGTCTAAGGCGCTGGATTTAGGCTCCAGTCCGAAAGGGCGTGGGTTCAAATCCCACAGCCGTCAGATAAGCAATTGGTCTTACTTTTTGAAGAAGGGGTATGCAAATTTTCCATTTCCTTATTTCAAGTTCATTTCCAATATACGCGATAAAATCTTTGGAGTGAGTTTAGAACGTTTCCAGACCCTTGCCGCTGCAGATGTATCAAGTTATCTTCAACGTCCTTATCCTTATCTCAAGTTCGTTTCAACGTCCTTATCCTTATCTCAAGTTCATTTCAATCTTTCCACTTCCTTATGTCAAGTTCATTTCAAATACACACGTTGAAATGTTTGAATGGAGTTGAGAACGGAATGTCATTTCAAGTTCATTTCAAATACTCGTTGAACGGGATGTCTTTTGCTGTTGAAGATGGGGTATGCAATCTTTGCACTTCCTCATCTTAAGTGCATTTCAAATATACACGTAGAAAAATTTGCATTAGGTTTAGAACGGTGCCAGACCCTTGCCGTTGCAGATTCCCTCCAGCTGTCAACGCGCATTTGGATTCTCCACGCTGCGATCGTGGAGGAGAGAATGTAAGGTCGAGGTGCGTCCGTCGTGAAACACGATATCTTGCACCGAATCCGAGTCTAGCACCGAATCCTCTCATAAATACTTCCCGCTCTCTTCCGTCTGAGCACTGCCTGCAGCTCTCATGGTGCAATTGTGGAGAAGTCGAGAGTCCTCCACACTGGTTTCGTGTCTAGCACTGAATACTCTCAAAACTACCTCCCGCTCGCTGGCTGTTACCCTCGAGCTCGCGCTTGCCGCTGCCCTCGAGCACTCGTATTCGCACTCCTCCACATTTGTGATCGTGGAGGAGAGAGTGGAAGTTGCAGATGCATCGGTCGTTAGTCACACCTGGGATATGAGATATGGACTACGCAGAGGAGGATCCGGAGCTTCCCTGCGCCATCCAGAACCTTTTATAGCGTCTGGAAGGAGAGGGCGAGCCTTTAACGCGGTCTCCCCGCTTGACGAAGGCAGAACTTCTGGAGTCCTAATATCCTGAGGAAAGTGCAGACCGATGCTTCTGGACTGGATCCTTCCGCTCGATGCTGAGAGAGTGCTGCAAGCTGCGGAAAGTCGCAACTTTCGAGATGTCAATACAAAATGTTCGTTTTGCCCTCGAGGTGCTCGTTCGAGTGTCAGAGGAAATCGGCAGCTGCAATCGGTATCTGTATTTGCCAAGTACAGATACCGATTGTGATACAAATACAGATATCTGTGCTTGTGGTCGAGATATATCGAGGTTGTCGTTAAGCGAGCGGCAAGTAGTTTTGGAGAGTATTCGGCACTAGTATTTTGATCTCCATTCAAATGGAGTTCAGAATTCCTCGAGCATACCGAAATTGAAAAAAGACTTTCAGATTGAGTGCCACATGTTTCTTGAATCTCGGAAGAGAATATCGAACTTGACCCCAGTCTGTTAGATCTACATGTCGCGTGGGAGCACTCCAGTGCTGTGAAGCAGATGGCTAACATGGTCAACAGTGCACTCCTACTAGAAGCATTTCGCTTAGGTAGCCATTCAAACCACGCGGATGACACGGAGGACGAGACCGGTGGAATCGTGCCCCCGGCTTTGATGGTCAGCTCGTCCTTGAATCTATCGGTTTGATGGCAACCGATCCGTCGAACGTCTTCGGCTGGAGGGGTGGATGGACTCGGAGACTGTCGAAGAATACCTCTTACTTGCAACCAATCCTACCCATTACAGTTTTGATATTCCTCGGTCCCCGGGAATCGGCACCTAGGCACTAACCTCTCTAGGGTCCATAGGGGTGATCCCTCGTTTTCACGGTGTCTATTTGCTCGTCGTTTAGGTTTGAGGAAGCAGTGTTGGACCCCTTGCGGATACGTCCTTTGGAACGGCTCCAACTCGAAGTTTCAACTACAATTGTGGGTTTTCATTTATTCTAAACTGTTAGTGATGACTGAAAGTTAATAGAAGCTCCGGCGAGTGCTGCCACCTACGATGTCAAGGACCCACAGTGGAGCTTAGATTCGCATATTTCGGCGACCATGAAGAGATGCCATCGTTAATCCTTTTAGGTAGGATTCTGCGCGTAACCTGCACGTCTCGCGCTCGAGACGACGATATGCTCTAGACCTGTCTTCAGAATGTCTTGTTTTCTATATTGACCATAGTCTCTTGACTCCACCGGACCATCGACACCAACCGAAGCAGAAACTTCGTACGCAGCAGCGGAGTCAGGTAGTATGAGTTCTTTTACGACCCTGTTGTTCTCTGAAAGTGCCGTTGACTTAGAAAACCTACAAATGTCAGTTACGAACTTTGATTCACAATTCTATCGATCAACGAGTTTGGTTCGTCCGTGTGGATGTGTTTAGTCTGTCCGTCTACTAACTTCAAGCTAATTCCCCGTCCAATGGGAATGTTCAAACTAATCATGTTCCAGGTGGAAGGTTGGCAACGCTTCAGGTTGATCATGCGTTTTGTGACTAGAATGCATCGTAGTCCGTACTGCGATTCCATGGACACAAAGGTGGGAGAATTCTCGCACAGATGTCGAGACAGTTTCACCAGGCTATGATCGGGCCGGGGCTAATGCACAAGAGTCTCTAGCACTGTGGTGATTCAAATTGCTGGCTCACATCGGACATTGCTTGTTTCAGAGGGTCCGGTCTATAATTTTTCTCTCTACGTTAAAATCTGGCACCGATCTGGTGGATTAGAAGTCTGTAGATAAGAGATAGTTCTTAGCAATGCATCGGGTTGACGATTTAAAAGGAGAACGAGAAGATGAAGAGGAACAGCTGGCCGACGAAGTCAGTTTTGTCCTAATCTCAATTAGGCGAGGAAAGGTTCATGTTGCTAAAAGAGTTTAATTTATAGGGCTTGAAGAACAATCACACGAACTTGTACTCTACACCTTCAGTTTCTTTTTGAATGGAACTAAAAATGATATACGACGATATACTATCGTGCAGTTAAAAATAAAAATATCATATCTTATTTATTCCACGTATAAGTTTCATTCCAAATTTGGAGAAAATCCGGCATGGAATTAGATGGTACCGTAGATGTTATAATGTAGGCAATTGATTAGTTTCAGAACATTCTGGTCGAACTTATTGGCGCGTATGTATCAGTTCACATCTGAGAAGAAAAATGAAGAAAAATCTTCCATTATGATATTAGTACTCCACTATCCTTCAACGCCAACCTCAGATTTAACAAGAACAGATGCTAGAACCAGACTTTTGGTTGTACACCAATTTTAGTGGGCATCCAATAAAACATCTACACGATTAGAATGATTATTTTAGTACATATATACTTAACTATTTTGTACTGCATTAATTCAATTTACATCTCACACACACTTATTCAACCAATTTCTGTTCTGTTCAGGGCTGGAAGTATTAAGGTATACAAACTTTTGATATTCTTCAACAAACTGTAATCATAACCTCTGAACATACAATGGACCAAACCTCTGAACATACAATGAACCATGAAAATAACGACCAACTTCCCATTTATTGTTCCTCTACATATGCTTAAAAATCGATATTTAGAGATGATGAGGAAGAAGATTAATTCAGACCATGTGTGACACGAATAAATTACAATATTGTAATCGATGAATGTTCTGCTTGTGTCGCGTCACCAACAAATGGAGAAGTTTCACTTCACAAGACAGTAGAATTGAAGTAAATAAACCACGAACTTTCTCACAAAATTAAAGATTAAAATTCACAAAGTCCAAAATCTTAAATCATATTCTTATCAATAGTCAATTACTTTGATTAAAAGTTATCGTCTTTTTTAAACTTTTTACTTTTAAAATAAATCTCAATATCTTTTAAAGAGTTATTTTTTTAACTTTGCAAAACAAGACAAAATAATTTCCTTTTTTTTTGGTGTCAAAATTGGAAATTCTTTTTAAAAAATCAAATAACATTCAAATATTGAACATACATGTACATTATATTCATATAGAATTTCACAGATACCTTCAGCTGACCGAAGGTATTTATGAATTTTAGGTATTCCACAGTTCTGAAATTTTTGTGTGTGATATCTGATAATAATAGATTTTAGAAATGTGAAAGCTTATCAGAGTGATCAAGGTTGAGATTCATATATATGGGAAGAAGTCAATTGGATTAACATCATAACCCCATGTGGTTAGTCTTATAAAATGAATAGCATATTATGATACTTTTATGAGACTTTTTGTCACTTCGCTTTGTATGTAAAAATTCGTTGGAGGTGGTGCTAAACGTTCTATGATTTATGGACCTCGATTGACAAAAATGGTAATCAGTTTTGGCATGAAAAGTCTTCCGGTAAAGCTGTCACATGCCAGCAACTGCATCACAATAGGAGAGCTAAACTACGCTTCGAAAGTTTTCACCGTTACGGTGATGGGAATTCTGTAGAAGCCTAGATTAGCCCTCGTCTTCACAAGTCCTGGTCTGAGGAAATTTCAAAACAGAGAAATGTAGTTCCACTTGCTGTTCCTTCCCTCCACGGATGCTTATGAGTTGAGGAGTTGTGGTCCACAGGCTTATATCATTTCATAGTTGAATGGAAAATATCAGTCGAAGTAAAGATCAAGAATTTATTTGGAAGATTGTACTCATCGACTCCAAGTTGTCTGTCAAGTGAATCTGCAGATAGTTTATTTTTCGACTGGATCCGTCTCCCTCCAGCTGCGTTGTTCATTCGGAGTTCAATCAGAACGTCGTAAAATCTTGAAATCTGCTCTTGAGGATCGTCAGCCTGTTGTTCAGCTGTCACATCTTTCTAGGCGCGTTGTGGGAAGGACGGGTGGAAGAAAGGACTTTTTAAGCATTAGAATCTAGGGATTGCTGATGATACAAGCGTTTGGGCAGATCAGATTCATGAGCAATTTTTGAATGTGTAGGCTCGTTTCATCTTCCGGCATCAACATAGAAATGAGGACCTGACCACAAAGGACTCGTGTGGGATTAGGGTCAAGAATCTGCAGTGAGGAGTCATGGATATAGCTGTGGACTCTAATTCATGGAGAGATGGCAGCTAGTTGAAGGGTATCGAGGTGGTGAAGTCTGTCGATTGATGCGCTGAGGTGATCACACATTCCCCACAGAAAGTGTGCTGATGGCTAACGGAGACATGGGCTCTGTCACGAAATTACTGGCGCTTCTTGTCCTCGCTTTACTGGCAGGAGGAGAAGCGACTGTGGGGCCTGCGCACACGAACAATTGGGCTGTACTCGTGTGCACTTCTCGATACTGGTTCAACTACCGACATATGGCGAACACTCTTTCTCTTTACCGGACTGTAAAAAGACTAGGGATACCGGATGACCATATCATTTTGATGCTCGCCGATGATATGGCCTGCAATGCCAGGAATAAATACCCTGCGCAAGTTTTCAACAACGAGGATCATCGACTCAACCTTTACGGTGACAACGTGGAGGTGGATTACAGAGGCTACGAAGTGACGGTCGAGAATTTCTTGCGCTTGCTGACCGGGCGACATAATGCTGCGGTGCCTCGATCCAAGCGGCTGATCACTGATGAAAATAGCAACATTTTGCTATACATGACGGGTCATGGAGGTGATCAGTTCTTGAAATTCCAGGATGCTGAAGATATACAAAGCAATGATTTGGCTGACGCTTTTGCTCAGATGCATGAGAAAAAACGATACAGGGAGTTGTTGGTCATGGTGGATACATGTCAAGCCGCTACACTCCACTCTCAACTCTACTCCCCTGGGGTGTTCGCAGTTGGCAGCAGCCTCAAGGGCGAAAATTCATACTCGCACCATCTTGATGCGGATGTTGGAGTAACTGTGGTGGATCGATTTACGTACTACACTCTTCAGTTTTTCGAGAATCTGGAAATTTTCTCGAACACTACTCTGCAGAGCCTTCTGCAAACGTATGATCCGAAGCTGCTTGATTCCCACATAAACTACCGTAGTGACCTTTTCGCTCGGCCTCTTGATCAGGTTCTGCTCACAGACTTTTTTGGCTCTGTAATGGAAGTGGAGCACACGAAGGCTTCAACTCAAATGTATGCAGAGTTCGTGGATGTGAACGTGTATGAGCCCGGGGAAGATGACATTCAGCTTTTCAAACCCTCGGTAAATATACCTGTGAACGAGGAGACAATTGCCGACCTGAAACCCTCACCTGAACAGGGTATTGAAGGATTATCATCGATTGCAGGAATGTTTCAATCTGACTTAAATAATTGTGATCTGCCGGTGGTCATCGGAGTGTTAGGGCTTGCCTTTGCTGTCAGTTTAGTTTCAAGTATTTATCCTAATTCTCCATTGAAAATTTAGCCACCTAGCTCAGGAAGTGCAATGTCGACTAATTGGCGATATCTGGGAAATTCTAAAAGCATCCACCACTTTTTTCTGTACTTTGTACAAAGCATTCCAGCTCATGGCACGGTCAAAGCTCGGAGGAAAGTAATCTTTGCTCCAAAATCTGAACTTGTTCAGTTCGTATGGAATGTTATGAGTTTCTGCTGGAGTTTCGATGTTACAAGCCGTCTACATTAAAATGTAATTTTGGCTTTCTGTGGTCTGTACTTCCAACGCTTCAGGAACCGGAGAATGGACCAAGAGTGTATGGCAGATGTTCTTTGAAGAAATATGATATGCATCTGTCAGCTGTATAGTATGTTTTGTCAGAATTGCTAGTGTTTGTGATCTTGCGTTTTGACTGATCCTCTTATTTGCTACCATGTTTGTCCTGTACTCTTGGTTGAGACTTTACTCCCAGTGCAGAGTTGGAACGTACTCTTATGTAACTCATTGCACGCGGGAGCTCCATGGTTGCCAGCGTAAGACTTACAAATGAAGCAGAAATAGAGATACAAACCAGAAGCAAAGATAAATATTGCGGAACTATAATAATCAATCTTAAATGAAGATCAAATAAAGAACCTGTAAACAACCAAAAGAATGTAACGTGGTTCTCAACGAGGATATTACTTGATGGGACCCCTCCGTACTGATTTTCTGCAGTATTCCTTCTGTCAGGAATTAGAAGTCACTTCGTTTTTAACCGGAGTTCAAATGTGCCTACAGCTTTAACTGACTCCTAGATTATACGAAGTCCCCTCCTTTGGCCTCGTTGGTTTCAACAATGATTTCTCCAGGTGGTTGCAGGATGAGATCTTCACATCTCTTTTGTCAACCACTTGACCCAGTTCCTTACATGCGCTACGCATACATGTTCCATGAACATGATCAATTTCTATTTACACTGCTCGCCTATAAAAATCAGATAATTCCAAAATTCAACGCTGTTCCATCCAGTAAAGTTGCCCCCTCGTCAAACGCACTACTGTCCGCCTACCTCGAGTCGATGGAGGAGGTTAGGACTCTGGCCACAACTCTGAATCTGAGAGTGCCTGCAAAACTAGTGCTGCATATGCCTCGTGCTCTTCAAATGTTGCTCACTTCTGCAGTCTTGGTGTCAACTTATGATCGATTCTCTGGTAGACAACTTCGAGATCCAGATCGTAAGAACTGAGCTAATGAACTCCACTTCCACTGACTACGTTGTTGAGTGGCTCAATCATTTTCATACTTCAGGTCGCTACTACTGTGCAATTTGTTGGTCGGTTGAAGCTTGCAACAACAGAGCCAAGTGAGTGACGTTTGCACGAACATTTTCTCTGAGTAAATGGAGTCACCGGTGGGTCGCTGTGCATAACTCCTCTGCCTGACAGGACACGATGATGTGCATAATCGTTTTCCATTGCTGGACGAGCAGATTCCGCCTAGAGAAGGTGCGTTCATACCCTTCTCACACGGTGCATCTTCTCCAGCTGGCTTACCTCTTGCGTTTTCAATTGTCGACCAGGACCTGGCTGTTGAAATGGAGACAGCATGTCCGATTACAAGTGTACATGCAAATATTCTACCTCATATTCGGGGTACAGTAGGAGGTCCATGACACTTTGCGTGCGGGACTTGAATATGATTGAAAGATGCCTAGCTTGAACACTTGTTTGCTCGAGTCATTAAAACCCTCTGCGCGACTGACACAACCATCGAACGATCGATCTTTCATCGTTTGGTCGCTGCCCAATCTCTTTCTCCAGGTTTTACATCGTTTCTCACCACACGCCTCTTTGCAGCTTGCAGCTTGCGACGATGGCTTTCAAGGGCAGAAACATGTGGATGCTGGTCATAGTGATTTATGTGGGATTCGTCTTCACCTCTCTGCTGCGTACAACGAAAGCGAGTTCAATGGAATCAAGTCCGGAACCAGTGAACACGTACACAACTGCTTTCGCCAGGAGCCTCAAGAAATAGAAGACAGAAGCCCACGGAGCTATGGTGGTAGTGGTCTATATCCGATCGTTCCGACCGAGCCGATCATTCTCGACTATCACCATGGTCCCATCTTGACAGGAGCGAACGATATAATCAAGCTGAATGGCATCTACCTCTGCACCTTCTCCTACAAACAGAAAACGTCTCTGCTGCTCATACTCAAATTAATATGGACTGCCAAAGGTGGGCTCCGAGACAGGAATGGCTGGCCAACTGTGGCAATCACTCGCTGTGCTTGTATCTCCACAACACACCTCTAGCTCGCTGCATAGTCATAGGGCGAGAAGTCACAGATTCGTACTCGATGGGCAAGAAGAGGCTCAAGCAGTCCGGCATTTAGGCACTCGTGCTGAAGGTTGTGAAGCAGACAGATTTTACAGCCGAAGCTCGAAGCATATGCCTCGTTCTCACCGCTGACGATGTGCTGGTGGAGAATTTTTGCATGAGCATGTGTGCAGCACGATTGTACGCCTTACCGGCCGCCACTGAAAATTCGCAGATGGTTCCATAGGAAGGATTGGAAATCCAGGTTGGAAAATCGCTGGCCTTATGCTCTTGCACAGTAAACAATAAACGGTCGTTCATGTCGCTGCTTCAGCTGCAAAGTACAATCGATCTTTATGTGTTTTCTTTCTTATTGGTACAATTTCATTCGGTTGAAGTCATCGACCGAATGACTATTATTATAATTATGACTCAATTACAGTACTTTACTACTATTCTCTATCTGGTTCTTGTTCTGCTATCCGTTGTGTTCTTCGCTATTACGAAATCCCACCCTGTCTCAAAAAGTGGCTGAAGAGGTTGGATATAATTTACACGAGTCATTTTTATCACTTAAAATACGTGGAACGGGATCTGTACATGATAAAAGAATGATCAGCTGACCACAATATCATAAAGATTATAATTAAATAAAGAACAAAATTTAATAACATGTAAGGACTAAATTGAAAGGTACGTTAATTAGTTTGATTGTAAGTCCCAAGATAAAAATTATATTTCCTGTTTAAAAAAAATAATTTCTGTAGTTTTGTGGAACTTTGGTGATAATCTTTGACTCAAAACTTTGAGGTCAATTATACCCAAGCTTGAAAAAAATATATTTTAAAAAGGACATCTCGTTTTTCAGTCTATTAACAGCCTGAAGAATCTATATCAACAATAAATAAATTACCATTGGTGTAAAACTTGCGATAACGATTTGAACGATCGAAGAACTCTCACGTACAATAAACAGGAAGTTAGAGTTTTGATTAAAGAGAGAAGAATACGAGAAGAATACTTGGCTCATCATGATAGGGATCTTTATTCTAGAAAACACATTTGAAGTGAATTGTCAGGTGTTTTTGATACCTCGTGCATGAGGAGAATGTGTGGTTTTCATTCTTACTCACAATATTCGGTCACACTACCCCTAACTTGTTAAGTTTTGGAAATTTCTGAAAACATGGAGAAATACAGCCACATGGTTACTTGACATGAGAGTAGATTCTAGATATGTTATTTTCTTTTGAAATCGCCTATGTTTTATGTGCTGAATATGCCTCTGGAATATGATATACCATGCTTTGTGAGTCAAGAACTCGAGATATATTTAAATATGCAAGTATATGATGATTTCATATATTTGCATGTTAGGCAGTTGATCGATTGTGGATTGAGATTTCATACAGGACGATGGCAAACTTTGTCATGATAGAGATTATACAAAGTACATCAAAGCCTTCGTAGATCGAAATTAGATTAGCCATAAGATCTTAAGGCTGGATAGTTCGTCATCCTAGTTATATTGTATGATATTATCAAATTGCTTCCTATGCTAGCGTTGTCCTTTGATCACACTACTATTTGGTATTTGAAATTACAAGAATTTTTTTATAGTAAGTTCAGAGTACACTGACACATAATAATAAATTTAGATTATAGGGATGAGGGAGTCTATGGCTGGATTAAATCTATATGTTCAGAATTTTAAAGTGTCTTTAGAAATACGTCTTGGACCTTCTAAAATTTAAAACGTGGTTAATATATTGAATAAATGATGTGTCAAGAGCATCAAGGAGTTAATATTTCAAATTGAAGCTGAAATGATAACATGGATAACATAATATCTGAAATTTTGAGGAAGTGCCTATTTATTTATCATCAGCATATACAACTTTCATATGATGTGTTTATGATCTTTTAAGTATTTATTAAATTTCATTTTCAAGATAAGACTATGTCACAAATGATAAAACTTGTTTTATTGTTAAAAATTGAATTTGTATCACAGTTTAGTTGTTGATATGATAGTGAAGATTTTTCTTTTGTCCATGTCAGATTATTTATTATTTATTAATTTTCATCTTTCAACAATTGAATTTGAAACAACTACTATAAAAAAACTAGAAATTTTATAGTTAAAATTTTTGATGAAAAAATTTATGTCAAAGTTAAAACACTGAAAAGTCAAATTTTTTATTATTTTACAAAAAATAATAAAAAATTCAAAGTTTGATCTTCAAAATTTATAATTCTTAACCCAATATGAATACAAGCGTATTCTAAAAGTAAGCTTAAATTACATTTAAAAATGTTAAGCTAAATGAGAGCTTATTTTACTTCAATTTCATTTATAGTTTTTCAAAATTTGAGTTAGCAATAAATAAGCACAATTCAACAATTTGGCAATTTTTGATTTAAAAAAATTTACACTGTGAAATTTGAGTCTAAATTATTGAAATTTTGAAAAATTGTGTAACTTATATTTGTTTCTAAATGATAATTTTAACGTATTTAAAAAAGTGTTTTATGCAAGATGAAAAAAATTATTGGATGTGTTCAAACAAATGAAAAAAAATTCTCTTAAATATTTTTATTTTAGAAAATTATTTCATTTTTCATGAATAATTAAAAAACATATATATATATGTATTTATATTGAAATTTAATTATGATTAAAAAATCAATAAATAGACACCATAGACAAGACACAATAGGTAACAAAAATTAATTAAAAATAAATTATAGCAAGATTATAATTTTAAGTTTTCATCGTTGGCATTAGATTAATCTAGCATCAAAATAAAATGTTTTAAATATAATTTTATGTTCATGTACTATATTTAATGAAATATTTTGTTTTTTAAAAAAAATTGGAAAATCAGAAAATAAGAAGAATGTTAGAAAAAAAAACTATTTAAAAAATTTTGAATTAAGTTTTGAAAATTTGCAAATTTTTATATTAAATGTTACATTTTTTGGAGCTATGTGAGTACAATTATGTGCCCACATTTGAAGCAAACCTTTGTCGTCGGAGCAAGTGGTAGTAGAAGCAAGTATATAGTGCACAAGGCACGGAGTTTGATGTGGCGGATAGAGTATAGTCGTCATGCTTTCGAGACTTCTATGCTTCACTCATTGATCACAATATTTTTACATAAAGCAAGCAACGGGGGATATATTAAGAAAAAAGTACCGTTGCTCTCATACGATTGATCGCCTTGTGAGTACAGTTTGGAAAATGACGACTTTTTTGAAGCACTATACTCAAAATTTCTTGTTTTCAGGGGACATTCAATCTGTGGAACTAGCAGTAGAGAGCGAGCATGTAATGCAGAAGACGTAGAGATGATGAGACAAATATGTATTCATTGCAATGATTGCAAGCCTTATTTGCTTCATTCATTGACGACAATTTTTAGTTAAAAGAATTGTGTTACAAGCAGGCAACAAGACATCCATTCACGAGCAATTACCGTTACTCTCATAAAATTGGCCGCCTTGTGAATATATTTTGAAAAATGACATTTTTTTTAGCTACAATCATCAAAATATTTCATCTACGAAAAACAATCAATCCACGAGGCTAGTGATAGTGTGACCCAGATTGTAGTGCACAAGGAGCGCGGAGTTTGATGAGGCGGATAAGTAGTACTCGCCATTGTCTCAAGCTTTGTCTGCTTCATTTGTTGGCAACAATTTTGAAGCAAGAAGAATTGAAATATAAGAAGTCAACATGATATTTATTCACTTACGACTATCTTTTCTTTCATACAATTGATCGCCTTGTGAATATAATCCCAGAATATGACAATATTTTTAAACTGTTATCTTCAAAAAATTTGATGTACTGGAAAACATTCAATACGTGTTTGCGTGGTTGCTACCAGATTACTTTTATTTTTTTTTCTTGCTTGATATATATGCATGTGTAGTATACTCAGGTTTTTTGAGCATTAAGTACTTGTTAGTATCAAACAATGGATCATAAAAAGATCTAATTCATGTGATATGTAATATGAAATTTACATAGAAAGGAGTTTGATGATTTTCAACAAAAAAATATTTGAAAGTGATAGTTTGTGAGATGTTGAAATCTTATGCAACATGTCTTTTGGCAATTGCGTTACAAATGTATGACACAGTTAAATTTGTCATAACAAAGAATATGGTATTCAAGCTAATGCACTATTTGAAAATCCGCACTCTTGGTGAAAGTTATGTGAAACAAACCAGTTATAGATAATTTATCTACAACAAGTGGTAAAGTGAGCAAAAAACTACAAGGCAAAGCAAAAATGCATTTATATTCATTGCGTAGGGAGAAAACTAGAGCTATGAGAGACTTGGAATTTAAAAGATTGGTACAGGTACAAAACAATCAGTAGTTAGTTGATAGGAGTAGTGAGCGTGAAGCTACCGTAAAAATCAAACAAAGAGATGAAAAAGTAGTTGTAGACTTTAAACATGATAAAACTACTGTTGAATCTTATTATCAAGCTAGACGTACTTATGAAGCCGACAAGTACGTAGAGGTATGTAAAGATAAGCTATGTTGCAAAGACAAAAAAAACTTAAAGAAAAAATATTAGTTCGCGAAGAATGTTACAACATACTCATCCATCAATCAAGAGAGTAAAATGAAGACTATAATGCTACAATAAAACTTTCAAAGCGGAGAAGTGACATTTATGATTGAGCGTAATCATTTTTTTTAGTTAGAACTAAAGTAGAGATTACATCATCTATCTCCTCAATTCAAGATTGAGTAGAGTAGATGATAGTAGAATATCTATAGTGTCACGTCAGCAATCCGTATGCTAGTTGATTATGTTAGTTGAGAACGACACGTCATCAATCCATGTGCTTGTTAGGTAAGGATTGAATGTGCTAGTTGGGAGCGACATCTGAACAATTTATGTGCTCATTAGGTATTTCCGCCATGTCTCCAATTCACTATAAGGGATTAAAAGATGGATATGAGATCTTCTCTTATTGTACTTGTTGGTAAAAGCTATATAATGGAAAGTTAAACCATTGTTGATATCTCTCATCTTCATAATTTATGTATTCATCTTTGAGTGAGGTTCAATCTAAACTCTAGTGTTACATAGAAGAGGCAAAAGAGGGAGAAGGAAGTAAAAGAATGGTGATGGAAATGTTGAAATATCACCGACACGTGGTGATCGAGTTCAAATCTCCTACATAGACGTAACACTAATCTTGAAAATTCTTTAGAGTCGAAGAAAGCTATAGAATTAGGTAATACAAGAGATTCAAAAGAGTATGAAAAAGGGATAAAATCAAGTAAAGAAGAAGATTCAAAGTAGGTTAC